CTGTTTCCATGTGTTCTCATTGTTCAAATCCCACTTATGAGTGAGAACATTAGGTATTTGGTTTTCTGTTCCTGTGTTAGTTTGCTGAGGATGATGGTTCCCAACTTCACCCATGTCCCTGCAAAGGACATGAACTCATTCTATTTTATGGCTGCATAGTATTCCATGGTATATATGTGCCACATTTTCTTCATCCAGTCTATCATTGATGGGCATCTGGGTTGGTTCCAAGTCTTTGCTATTGTAAATAGTGCTACAATAAACGTATGTGTGCATATGTCTTTATAGCAGAATGATTTATAATCCTTTGGGTATACACCCACTCGCTGAGATTGCTGGTCAAATGGTATTTCTGGTTCTATATCCTTGAGCGAATCATTGCCACTGTCTTCCACAATAGTCGAATTAATTTACACTACCACCAACAGTGTAAAACCATTCCTATTCTCCACAGCTGCGCCAGCATCGTTTCCAGACTTTCTAATAATCGCCATTCGTAACTGGAGTGTGATGGTATCTCATTGTGGTTTTGATTTGCATTTCTCTAATGACCAATGATGATCAACTTTTTTTCTTACGTTTGTTGGCACATAAATGTCTTCTTGGAAAGGTGTCTTTTCATATCCTTTGCCCATTTTTTTAATGGATTTTCTTATAAATTTGTTTAACTTCCTTGTAGATTCTGGATATTAGACCTTTGTCAGATAGATAGCTTGCAAAAATTGTTCTCCCATTCTGTAGGTTGCCTGTTCACTTCTGATGATAGTTTCTTTTTGCTGTGCAGAAGCTCTTTAGCTTAATTAGATCCCATTTGTCAATTTTGGCTTTTGTTGCCATTGCTTTTGGTGTTTTAGTCTATGAAGTCTTTGCCCATGTCTATGTCCTGAATGGCATGGGCCTAGGTTTTCTTCTAGGGTTTTTATAGTTTCAGGTTTTACGTTTAAGTCTTTGGTCCATCTTGAGTTAATTTTTGTATATAGGTGTAAGGAAGGGGTCCAGTTTCTGTTTTCTGCATACGGCTAGCCAGTTTTCCCAGCACTATTTATTAAATAGGGAATCCTTTCCCCATTGCTGTGTTTTTTGTCACGTTTATCGAAGATCAGATGGTTGTAGATGTGTGGTGTTATTTCTGAGGCCTCTGTTCTGTTCCACTGGTCTGTATATCTGTTTTGATACCACTACCATGCTGTTTTGGTTACTGTAGCCTTGTAGTATAGTTTGAAGTCGAGGAAATGTGATGCCCTCTCCAGCTTTGTTCTTTTTGCTTAGGATTGTCTTGGCTATATGCCGGTTTGGTTTTTTTTGGTTCCATATGAAATTTAAAGTAGTTTTGTCTAGTTTGAACATAAACTTTTCAAAAAGAAGACATACATGCAGTCAACAAGCATATGAAGAAAAGCTCAATATCACTAATCATTAGAAAAATGCAAATCAAAACCACAATGAGATACTATCTCACACCAGTTAGAATGGCTATTATTAAAAAGTCAAACGATAACAGATGCTAGTGAGGTTGTGGAGAAAAGAGAACACTTATACACTGCTGGTGGGAGTGTAAATTTGTTCAACCATTGTAGAAAGCAGTATGGTGATTCCTCAAAGAGATAAAAACAGAACAACCATTCAACCCAGCAATCCTATTATCGGATATATACCCAGAGGAATATAAATCATTCTTCCATAAAGACACATGCATGTGAATGTTCATTAATGCCCTATTCACAATAGCAAACAAATGGAATCAACCTAAACGTCCAGCACTGACAGATTAGATAAAGAAAATGTGGTACATATACACCATGGAATACTATGCAGCCATAAAAAAGAACAAGATCATGTCTTTTGTGGGAACAGGTGGAGCTGGAGGCTACTTCCTTAGCAAACTAACACTGGAACAAAAAACCAAATACTGCATATTCTCACTTACAAGTGGGGGCTAAATGATAAAAACTTATGAACACAAAGAAGGGAACAACAGACAATGGGAGAAGAGCTGAAAAAATAACTATTGGGTACTAGGCCTAATGCATGGGTGGATGAAATAACCTGTACAATCTGAGTTTACCTCCATAACAAACCTTCGCATGTACCCTTGAACCTAAAGTAAAAAAAAAAACTAAAAAACCAAAACCAAAAACAAAAAAACACCAAATAGCTCCATTTGGTAGGAGATGTTGATAAAGGGGGATACTGTACCATGTGCAGGTACTGCAAGTGTATATATATATGAAAATCTGTGTACCCTCTGCTCACTTTGGTCATGAACCTAAAATTGCTCTAAAAAATACAGTCCACTGAAACAAACGAACCCAAAAGTTCCATTAAGTTTCCAGGAATATTCTCTCTCTGATCTTCAGTTCTTTGAAGAAAATTCTTTCTTATAATCTGTTTCTCACATTTTTTTTCCCATGCTTTACCATGTTTCCTATTCCACGGTTTCAAATAACCTTCTGTGTCATCTCCTACCTAAACAATGTAAAACCACTTTTGTACTTACTTTGTATAGAAAGTTTAATCCAATTACAAAGAGTGTTAATTAACTTTTTTTTGAACTCAAATAAACAACTTTGCTCGGAAAGGTACCCTAGGTAAAATGACAACCCTTTGACACATTCAGACTCCTTGATCTTCCTGTTGGAAGAAAAAAAAAAACTTTCTAAATGTTCTGATAGAAACTAGAATAAACGTCAAATAAAGGGGAAACTACAGAAGTATTTCATTCTGGACATGAAAAATTAAAATGTAGTTGGTTAACATTTAAATTATTTGTTGAATATTAACCTTTGCTGGTGATGCAGTATGGCTCTGGTCTAAGTCCCAGAAAGCTCGACTATAAACAAGAAGGATTCCCCTGCACATAGTCACCTCTCAACCAATTATTCTTACCCCTAGAATTTAGATAACTCAATTTGGCTGGATCATAAAGGAGCAAAATGGCATAGATTAACTCTAGAATGCTCTAGATTATGAACAGAAACAAGGGTTAATTCTAGGTACAATTTTTACCTGTGGTGTAATTTATAATTAAAGTTGTTACGCTTTTAAAAATAATTTTTATTATGAAAGTAATAGATACTCATTGTAGAAAATTTGGAAAATTCAAGTATACAAGAGACACATTATCCTTCATAGTATTACTTATGTTAAGTATATTCTAAATAACCAGAGAGCAACTCAGAGGTTTTTCTTAGTAATTTTCCATATGTCAGTCAAAACAATCTTTCACCTCTTTGGCTCAAACTATGAACTTGGTCAAAAATACTTTTAGCTAACAATTTGAAAAGTATTTAGCCATCCTCATCTTTTTATCTTTATGCATTCTGACTCACGTGGCACACATTTACCCACAAAGATTAGCAAGGATATGTCTAATTCCCCATATACTAGTGGTACCTCCATTGCATTACCTCCATTACTTTCTATTTCTTCAAGAAAACATACCAGAAAGTGGCTTGGAGGTCAGTGAGATGCTAATAAATCAAAACCTGGAGTTTAGGCCGGGCACGGTGGCTCACGCTTGTAATTCCAGCACTTTGGGAGGCTGAGGTGGGTGGATAACGAGGTCAGGAGTTCAAGACAAGCCTGGCCAACGTGGTGAAATCCCGTTTCTACTAAAAATACAAAAACTAGCCAGGTGTGACGGCAGGCACCTGTAATCCCAGTTACTCAGGAGGATGAGGCAAGAGAACTGCTTGAAACCAGGCAGAGGAGGCTGCAGTGAGCCGAGATCACGCCACTGCACTCCAGCCTCGGCGACAGAGCAAGATTCCGTCTTGGAAAACAAACAAACAAACTGGAGTTTAGTCTAATATGTGTCTGTCTCTGTGTGTGTGTGTGTGTGTGTGTGTGTGTGTACATTCCATTAAATGTAAGTTCCACGTCAACTCTGGCACTTCAGAACTAGTTACAGATTATGTTACATTTCCAATTGATCTCAAAGCACAAGTGTGCCCAAACACAGAGACTGGTTAAGTACTCTTTATTTAAAGTACTATTTGTAGTCCTGAATGGAAATCTTTTAAAATCCTTATATAAAAATGAAAGTCATGGAAACACTATTTTAAACACAATGTGGCCGGGCTCAGTGGCTCAAGCCTGTAATCCCAACACTTTGGGAGGCCAAGGCGCATGGATCACCTGAGGTCAGGAGTTTGAGGCCAGCCTGACCAACATGGTGAAATCCTGCGTCTACTAAAAAAACAAAAAAATTAGCCAGGTGTGGTGGTGGGCACCTGTAATCCCACCTACTCGGGAGGCTGAGGCAGGAGAATTGCTTGATCTTGGAAGGCAGAGGTTGCAGTGAACCAAGATCGTGCCATTGCACTCTAACCTGGGCAACAGGAGTGAAACTCCATCTCAAAAATAAATAAATAAATAAACATGATGTAAATCAAAAGTGTCCAGAAATTAAGGTCATTTAGTAAGACTAATATATTTTGCTAAAGAGCATAAAACTGGTTACTTACAAAATATACTCACCATTTGTGCATTGGATTCCCCCAATGACTGAAGTTCATATTGAATAGCTTGCCCATTTTGGTCCACTAGATGGAAATGCTCTGCAGAAGGAGTCTGTGTCTGAGTCAGGGGCCCTGTTATATTCTGTGATATGAGTGAATTATTTGCTTCAGGAGTAGTGATGGGCAAAACTGCAGGAGAATCATTTTGTCCAAAGGAAGAATCCCTGGAGTCCATACAGGTTAGATGCTTTTGCAAAGAAAAAAAAAAAATCACTTCAGTCTTTTCAGGATATACTGTCACCATTTTTTTTTAAAGATGGGTATAATAAAAATGAAAAGATATCCATTTTTCAGTTGTTTTTACTTTTTTGTAAGAGTTGTCAATTCATACAAATTGCTATACACAGAAAGCATTTCTTAAGTAAAATTGTTGATTATTATATTTATTATCTTAATTTTATCAAAATTATCCACAGGAATGGAACCTGAAATAACGTAATATAATTCAACCTTTAGATTTTTCTCTGTATATAAAATTTTTATGAATATATCTAAGTATTAAGTTCTGTATTGTTAAATATTTCATAAAATATGTGTATAATTAAATATTAAAATTCTTTTTTTTTTTTTTGAGACAGACTCTTGCTCTGTCACCCAGGCTGCAGTGCAATGGTGCTATCTTGGCTCACTGCAAGTTCCTCCTCCCGGGTTCATGCCATTCTCCTGCCTCAGCCTCCAGAGTAGGCGACTGCCACAACGCCTGGCTAATTTTCTGTATTTTTAGTAGAGACGGGGTTTCACCATGTTAGCCAGGATGGTCTCGATCTCCTTACCTTGTGATCCACCCGCCTCAGCTTCCCAAAGAGATGGGATTACAGGCATGAGCCACCACGCCCGGCCTAAATTCTTTTCGCTTTTTTTTTTTTTTTTTGAAATGGAGTTTCACTCTTGTGGACTATAATGGTGGGATCTTGGCTCACAGCAACCTCTGCCTTCTGGGTTTAAGTGATTCTCCAGCCTCAGCCTCCCAAGTAGCTGGGATTACAGGCGCTCACCACCATGCCCGGCTGATTTTTGTATTTTTAGTACAGACAGGGTTTCTCCACGTTGGCCAGGCTGGTCTTGAACTCCTGACCTCAGGTGATACACCCGCCTCAGCCTCCCAAAATGCTGGGATTACAGGCATGAGCCACCGCACCCAGCCCAAAATTCTTGAATACACTAAATATAATAGCTATCCCTTGAGCATAAAGAGCTGTTAAATGGCACACTGTTTTACCCTAGGATGGAAAAAAGTTCCCAGCTGAATCCATACCTCAAATACTTGAGCATCGGTTTTTGACTCTTCACCATCATTATGGTTGACTCTTAATGAATCATTAGATTGTTCCATGCTGACATCATATTCAATTCCATTTTCTTCTATTATTTAATAGCTGAAAGAGTTTAAATAGCGGATCAACTAAAGCGGTTAGTATGTTTTATCTTAAAAAAATCTCTCATATTCACTACTGTGGTACCCCATATAATTTAGGTAAAATCATTTCCATTCTATAGATTAAAAAACTAACATTTTTAAAAATGACTTGCCAAGGCACCAGAATACATTCAACGCAGGTCAAAAAATTAGTGTTATATAGTTCCCTCATCCTATCTTTTTTTTTTTTTTTTGAGACGGAGTCTCGCTCTGCCGCCCAGGCTGGAGTGCAGTGGCCGGATCTCAGCTCACTGCAAGCTCCGCCTCCCGGGTTCACGCCATTCTCCTGCCTCAGCCTCCCGAGTAGCTGGGACTACACGCGCCCGCCGCCTCGCCCGGCTAGTTTTTTTTCGTATTTTTTAGTAGAGACAGGGTTTCACCATTTTAGCCAGGATGGTCTCGATCTCCTGACCTCGTAATCCGCCCGTCTCGGCCTCCCAAAGTGCTGGGATTACAGGCTTGAGCCACCGCGCCCGGCCCCCTCATCCTATCTTTAACTACACTTCTGTACTGGCTTTTTAAGATTTATTTTATGTGACAAGGTACTGGTATACCCCTTCAAATACTTCTAAAATTCTCATATTACCAGAGATTTAATGCAAATAAAGTTTTTCAACTTTATGAGTTGGGTATGCCCTATTGTAGCATTATACAATTTTGAAACAGATATCCTGGTGTAGACAGATATTTTATATATATATATACACACATATACATATATACAATTTTTACCATTAATAGACAAGTATACCACTTAACATTAGTTTGACAAGCTTTGAAAAGGAAGTGATATTTAAAAAAAGAAAATGAAGAAATATATATACCAATAACTCTGAGCCACTTAGGTCTAGTACAGTAGTTCTCAATTGGGGCAATTTCTGTAAAGCTACAAAATCGGTCCAGTTTTAATATATGGCTATAAAGTATCTTTTACTTGCTTCTCCTTTAAGATTTTAAATGATCACTTATAACCTAATCAAGTAAAAAATCAACTACAAAAATTCCAAAAAGCCTGTAGTTACCTTGGGCTATGGAAGTAAAAGCAATCTGAATTTATAACTTTCTGGATTATTTTTGAATTTTATATATTATACCTATATTACTTGAGAATAAAATTATTTAGAAGGGGTTTCAAAATAAAAAGAGCCTCCCATTAGCGGCAATATGGCAAAAAGATACTGTTAAAAAAAACTGTCTTGCTACAAAACAAAAAACAGAAAGTTGACCAAAAATAAAATATTTATTTTGTGTCCAGGCTCTGCTACAAGAAGTGCCAACAATCAAAGGCCATTCCTCACTCCAATGACCACCCTCCTCTCCCTGCAACCCCAAAAAAGCAAAACCAAAGAGGTGAGCATAAACAAAGAGGAAACTTTCCCCAAGGGTAGTTCTAATACATTAGTTTTGTGGCTAAGAAACTGAAGTTGGGACAAGTAGCTGGTAGGGGAAGAAAACTTAAAACTCCCAAGATAAGGATAACAACCTGAAAGGTTCGGGGTGAAGAGTGTAACCTGGCTTCTGGTAAGAAAAAAATGCAGCTACTATTTGGAGAAAAAGAAGCCCAGTTAAGACTCCAGTTTTCTTTCATATTAAGATCAATCAAATATAAGCTAACAATCAAAGAATACCAAAAAAAAAAAACCCAGGAAATTAGCCACCATGCGAATGAATCACCAGATTCAGACAGCCCCTAAAGACTTCCCATATTGGAAACATCTAAGATTGAACATAATGTAATTATTTAATATCTAAAAAAATGAATCACAGAGATAAGCAAATAATAAAAACTATCAAAAGTTTAATTTTTTTAAAAACACAGGCTGGGCACAGTGGCTCATGCCTGTAATCTCCGCACTCTGGGAAGTCCAGGTGAGTGGATCACTTGTGGTCAGGAGTTTGAGACCAGCCTGGCCAACATGGGGAAACCCTGTCTCTACTAAAAATACAATAATTAGCTAAGCGTGGTGGTGCATGCCTATAATCCTCACTACTTGGGAGGCTGAGGCAGAATTGCTTAAACCCACGAGGTACTCACGATGGTGTGAGGTTTGAGTGAGCCGAGATGGCGGCCACTGCACCTCCAGCCTCGGTGACAGAGCAAGACTTTGTCTCAAAAAAAAAAAAAAAAAAACTGCTGAATTAGAAAGTCAATGGGGCCAGAAAACAGTGGTTCTGTCTATAATCCCAGCACTTTGGGGAGACCAACGCAAGAGGATTGCTTGAGGCCAGGAATTTGAGACCAGCCTGGGCAACATAATGAGAAGCCTGTCTCTACAAAAAAATTTAAAAATCAGCCGTGTAGGTGGTGTGGC